TTTGCTGTTAGAAATAACTCTTGTGAGTTTTATATTGTGCTTTTGGGGGGTTCTAATCATTTCAGCAGTAGTATATTTTAAACAGCAGTATTACTATAAGCAGTGTGCTTCAGAATGTGAATTAACTTGTTGAAACTGTGGCTTTGACATCTATGTGATTAGTGTATATGGTATTTGCTCTCCGTTAGCAGAAGAATTCATTATCAACTTCACTAGTGCAGATCGCAGTTCTGTGAGCAGTGTTTCCTATTGAATATAAACTACTGCCTAAAATATACATATCGTGCAGCAGCTCAGCCTTTATCAGGAAAACTATATTTGGCAAGTTGCTAAAAGGGCACAGAGTTATGAAAGTTAAAGGTATGCTGCAAAAAACTAGCCATTATTCTGTGTTATTAAAATATTTACCAATTCTGTTAAAAGCAGAGCAGAAATTAGACACTAAGGATCTCTTTGTGAATTCTTTGTTCCCTATAGTAGATTGCTGTTTATATGTAAGAATTTTATTGCTTATGTGGCATACAATATTTATAACTATATACTTTATAGAAGTACAGTATTAAAGTCAGTGGTATACCAACATTCTGTACATATCCTGTGAAATGTGCTGTCATATGAAATAAATATACCTGTCTTTACCACGTTGACTGCTTTGCTCAAGAGGGAAGAATTTTTCTCAGCCATTTTTCTTGAACTTTTCATATCCAAGTTTAATGACATTTGGGGATTAACTCATATTGTCAAATCAGGTATTTTAATTCAAGACCTTATTTCATCCATTTCACTTCTCCATATAATACTCTAGAAGTAAGAAGACATTCTGAGACTACAAATCATCAAGAAGTCCATGCACTTATTCTGTAAGAGAGGCCCTCATTCAAAGTCTTGTTGGCTTGAAAATAACACTGAAGCAGGAATGATGATTTTCTAACCCACAGCAAAAGAAACAAGTGGGGGTAGAAGAGAGATAGGCCCAGGGACAGCCAGACCTAAGAGACTGACCTAAGAAGACCCAAAGTACAAGGCCAAGGCTAGTGGTTCCTCTGAGTATTGACTTTTTTCAGTCCTATATGATTGCTATTCAGAACAGTAGCCTTGATTCTTTTTATTTTTTTTAAAGATTTTATTTATTTTAGAGAGAGTGTGAGCACGGGGAGAGGGGCAGAAGGAGAGGGAGAGAGAGAGAACCTCAGGCAGATTCCCCACTGAGTGCGGAGAGCCCATTGCGGGACTTGATCTCACAACTCTGAGATCGTGACCTGAGCCGAAACCAAGAACCGGATGCTTAACCCACTGAGCCACCCAGGTGCCCCTAACCTTGATTCTTAAATCACTGAATTATGCTCATTAACCTCTGACTAAGAACTTTTAGATAGAGAATAATAGGCTTTTAAAGAAACTTTTGATTTTAAGATGACTGAGATATAAATATATATATATATGCAGTTGTAAGAAATAATACAGAGAGAGCCCATGTACCCTTTATGCAGTTCCCCCCCTCGCCTCCCCCCGCCAGTGCTAACATTTTATAAAACCATAGTGTAATACTACAACCAGGACCTTAACATTGATGCAAAACATTTCCATCACCGGGAAGATCCTTTATGTTGCCCTTTTCCCTGCTGCTTTCCCATTCCATCTCCCCTCGCTCGTCCTTAACTCCTGGCAACCACTAATCTATTCTCCATTTTTATAATTTTGCCCCTTCAAGAGTGGTATGTGACCTTTGGAGATAAAGAGCTCAAGTAGGAGGAGGGGCAGAGGGAGAGGGAGAGAGAGAATCCCAAGCCAACTCTGCACTGAGCGTGGAGCCCTACACGGGGTTCCATCCCAAGACCCTGAGATCATGACCTGAGCTGAAATCAAGAGTCAGATACTTAACTGACTGAGCCACCCAGGTGCCCCTAGTCCATTCCTTTTTATTGCCAGGTGGGGTTTCATGGTATGGATGTACCATGGGTGGTTTAACCATTCACGCGCCCACTGAAGGACATCTGGGTTGTTCCCAGTTTGGGGCTATTATAAATCTGCTATGAACATTCTTGTACAGGTTTTTGTGTGAACATAAGTTTTCATTTCTCTGGGATAATGCCCAGGTGTACACTGCTGGATCATAGTGTAGTTGCATGCTTGTATCTTTAAAAAAACTGCCAAAGTGTTTCCCAGAATGGACCATTTTACATTCCCATCAGCAATGTATGAGTGATCCAATTTCTCTGCATGCTTGCTTGCATTTGCTGTTTTTATTTTAGTCATTTTAGTAGAGGATGTATCATTGTGGCTTTATTTCCTTAATAGCTGATCATGGGGAACATCGTTTCATGTGTTTATTTGCCATCTAATATCTTCTTTAGTGAAATATCTTTCTTTCGCCTATTTTCTAAATGGGACTGCTTTTTTTTTTTTTTTTTTAACTGCTGTGTTTTGAGGGTTCTTTGTTTATTCTGTATACCCACCCTTTGTTAAATATGTGGTTTGCAAATATTTCTCCCAGTCTTTAACTTATCTTTTCACCCTCTTCACACATAGCCAGATCTTGAGCTCTGCGTGTCCACAAACTATAGTAATGGTGATTGACACAGGATAACCAAACTCACAAAAAGCTGATGTATAAACCAAAAATACCTGTGTATTAGTTTTAGAAACATAAATCTGACCACATCAAGATTTAGTGACATGTGTGGAAGAATGGGAAGTCATACACTGCTGTTGAAAAGGGTAGACTGGCACATCAATTCTAGAGAGCAATTTAACAACGTCCAGTAAAATTCATATATTCTATCACAAGAAATTTGGTAGAGAAATTATAGTGGATGTGGAGCAAGACATGTATTGTTTGTAATGGTTGAAAACCAGAAATACACTAATCATCAGCAGGGGAATGGAGTGACCTATTCATGCAGTTGAATACTACACAGCAGTGAAAACAAGTGCATGAAATATTAGTAAGTTTAATGAAATTAGAATGAAAAATTAGTCATTATGGAGCCAATGGCAAGTTACAAAATAATACAGTATGACATCGGGGCGCCTGGGTGGCTCAGATGGTTAAGCGTCTGCCTTCAGCTCAGGTCATGATCCCAGGGTCCTGGGATCAAACCCGCATCGGGCTCCTGCTCAGCGGGGGGCCTGCTTCTCCCCCTCCCTGCTTCTCCCCCTGCTCATGTTCTCTCTCTCTCTCTGTATCTCTGTGTCTTGAATGAATAAATTAAAAAAATCTTTAAAAAAAAATACAGTATGACATCATTTATATAAAATTGAAAACATGCAAAACAATATCCTCTATTCTTTAGGGAGAAGTACATGTGTTGATGGTAGAAAAACAGCAAATGGGAATGAGAAACTCAGGATAGTAGTTACCTTTAGAGAAGGGGAATAAGATATTGGAATCAGAGAGGGATGTGTGGGAACTTTAACTGTATCTTTAACATGTTAGGGCTTTTTGAAAAAAAAAAAAAACTCTTTTTTTCAATAGACTAAAAATTTGTTCTTTTCCTCCCTGACTGCCTGATATCTAGCAGCCATCATGAATGACATATTAATTATCTAGACCAGAGCGTTCATCACTAATGGATTGCTTCATTAGATACAAATGGTCGAAGATGCCCTTTACCCTAGAAAGGCAACGGTACCTAAAATATTCAGAGAAAAGTTGCCAAACTGCACAAGAACACACAGATCTCACCTTTTGTCTGAAAATTCAGAACTCACTTGAGTGATGGCAAGATGAGGCTTTGGCACAATTTATGACCACTGAAACAACACTAAGAAAAAGCTACATACAAATTTGTGAGGCATGGCCTGGATGAGAAGAAAAAAGACCATAAGAGAACACTGAAATGAATGTAATAAAAAAATTAAACTTTAGCAGAACTACAAAGGCAAAAATCAGTGCTGACAAAGATTAAAGATACTGCAAGGGCTTGTTCTGTGGAGATTTGGCAGATTTTCTACCAAATGATTAATGAACTACATAGTTAAACAAAGTGGATGGCCAGTACATGAGTTTTCCACACTTTCCATTAATATTAAAAGTTATACCCAGAGACCCTGTAATACAGGAGTTTGTGGATAAATGGTTCTCACAAGGCAAAATACACTGTCCACCCAAGTTTTAAGCAGTAGTTGGCTCGATGGATACAGAATGTATTCAGGATAAACAGAGGGATGACCTTATGGCCAGCAGTGAGGAGCTCAGAGAACTCAGGAGGCCCCCTTCCCCCTCTGGGGAGAGAGACATTTGCCATTCTGACCAGTACTGCGCGTTCCACGGTCTGGGTGCTCCCTGCCCCAATACTAGAGATGAAAACACATCTGCTCCCTGGGCTCCATACCCTGTCTGTCCAGGATCAGCCTAACTGTCTTCATATGAGGCCCTGGATTGGCTTTGGGCATTTCCAGGCCTGCAGTCACACACCATGCGCTCTGCCCCCGAACCCCAGGGATGAAGTTAACACGGTGAGAGCCAAAGTTTCAGGAATACAAAGTAGCGAGTGCTTGCAACATTCAAATCAATTTGTATTCGGCAACAGCCGAAGGAGGTAACCGGGGGTAGAGGTCTTGCAGGATCTTAGAGCTTCGGTGGCACCCTGTTATCAAGGGCTCAGTGCAAATGTCACCTTCCCCAAGGCACTCCTTGGCCATCCAGTCTAAAAAGCCAATCGCCCTATTTGGTTTTCTTTAGACTTCTATTTGAATTTGCCTCGTCCCCGTATTTTGTCTCTTTGTCACTTCCACTGCATGACAGCAGTGACCCTGGACGCGCCGCGGGGTCACCGACACCTGGAAGAAACAGCGCCTGTTCAATAAGACTCTGTTCTGCGGTGGCTGGCTGGAGAGTTTGCGGGCGGTTGCCCGGCGGCAGCCGCTTCAGCCTCCCTAGATACCCGACTCGGAATCAGCCCGCACAGAGCACCGCCACCACTTTCTCCTGCCCCTCGGCGCTCATACCCAGCAACCCGCGCGCACCTCCCGGAACTTCTCCAGACCGGAAACAGCGGGAAGCACTTCCGGAAGTGGTGACTGCAGGCGGCGGAAACGCCGCTGAGACTCGGAGCGGCGGCGGGGAGCCTGCTGCGGGGCTCGGGGCCTGGAGGTGCCCACCACCCCACCCAGTCCGACCTAAAAGGCTTCTCCCACCCCACCCATCTCCCTGGGTGGAACCTCGGGCCCAGGCGAGTCGAAGGGGCGTTCCGCGCTCCCCTCCGGCGGCTTGGGCTCTGTTGGGCGGTCGCCCAGACAACAGGCACTTCCGGGAAAGAAGCTCTGCGAATCCCGCGGGGCAGGGTGCCGGCCTGGACCGCGGCCCTCTCGGACTGTGTGGATCGTTGCCCGGCAGCACCTGCTTCCGGGAGCGCATTGCCGGGCCTCTCGCACTGCGGCTTAACCACCTTAGGCTTCTGACTGGAGCTGGGGCCCCCTGTGTTTCTTTGTTGCTCCTGGCAACAGCCACTTCCGGGAGCGAGTGCCCCCCCCCCCGTTCCTGCATCGCTGGCGCCCGAAACCCGAGTTCCGTCTCTAAGAAGCAGCTCGCCCTCGGGTTACGGTGGGCCGCGCCTCCCGGGCCTCCTCGCCGCCTCGGTGGGGTCTCCGGGGCCGCCATGGTTCTGCTGCACGTGAAACGGGGCGACGAGAGCCAGTTCCTGCTGCAGACGCCGGGGAGCACAGAGCTGGAGGAGCTCACGGTGCAGGTGGCCCGGGTCTACAACGCGCGGCTCAAGGTGCAGCGCGTCTGCTCAGGTGCTGCCCGGCGGCGCGGCGAGTTTGCGGCCGGGACCGTGGAGCCCGAGCCGGGGCGGGTCCGGGAGGGGAGGAGGAACGGGTCATCCGGATGGGGAAGTGGGGCGGGAGCCGCAGGACTTTTCTCGGGTCGGCTGGGCGGGGGGGAGGGTCAGTTTTGCGAAGATTTGCAAAGACGTGAGGCTGGCGGGCTTGGAGGGGGACAGCGGGGTTTCCCGGAGATGCCTGAAGAGCCAGCGGAGCGCGTGGAGACGCCGGCACCCGGCGGGCGGGCGAGGCCGAGTGTGAAATAGCCCGCGAGAGGGAATAACCCGCGGGCGCCGCAACACTGGGCCGCAGAGCAGGTGTAGTGGAATAGAGCAGGTGGGAGAGGTGGGACGGCCCCTGGCCCTTTTCAGAAGGTGAATTCGGGGGCGCCTGGGTGTCTCAGTCGGTTAAGTGTCTAACTCGATCTCAGCTCAGGTCTTGATCTCAGGGTTGTGAGTTCAAGCCCCGCACGGGGCTCCCCGCTGAGCATGGAGCCTGCTTTTTTTTTTTTTTTTTTTTAAAAAGTGAATTCACTTCTAAGGGGGAGCACCTGATTTAGGACGGTGCCCCGAGGATGGGAAGACCAGCTGAGGGTCTTGGTGTTCCTTGCCCTTCTCCAGGGAACACAAGCCTTTTTTCTCATGTTACAGCGTTTGGTCACTCTGTCAATGATCTAGAGCAGCGCTCTCTGGGGACTTTCTGCCGGGAGGAGGTGTTCCCTATTTGTGTGTCCAGTAAGGCACCCACTAGTTGAACACGACCCAGGATATGCGTTTTTAATTGTATTTTTTTAAAAGATTTTATTTATTTATTTGAGAGAGAGCATGAACAGGGGGAAGGGGCAGAGGGAGAGAGAAAGGGAGAAGCAGAGTCCCCGCTGAGCATGGAGCCCAATGAGGGTCTCCATCCCAGGCCTGGGATCATGAGCTCAGCTGAAGGCAGATGCCCAACCGACCCAGCCACCCAGGCGCCCCAATTGTATTTCATTTTAATTTAAATGTAAAGAGTCAAGTGGGGCTAGTAGCTACCACATTAGCTACACACAGCACAGCAGTTGACAGGATACTCCAGATGTGGTCTAGAATGTTACTGAGTGTTTCTATAATACGTGATTTTTGTGCCATGGAGAATTCCTTAAGGGTTATGGTTTCCACCTTTATGAGGCAGACATAAAGTTTCTTAGTAAAATTTACTGATTTCAAAACAAGGTCAGTATTCCTTTTTTTTTTAATTAAAGCATTTGGGGGAGAAAAGGGACTCCCAATTTCTTTTTCTATAAAATTATCAATTGAAAACATGGTGCCAAATGTGAATAGTCATGTTAGTGACTCATTCGTGTGTTCTGCAGCCCCCATTGAACTGATTGGGGCTGTGATTCAGGCAGGCCCCAGTGCTGTGCCTGCCAGAGACAAGGATGACTGAGACCAACCCCTTCCCCCAGATATTTAGTCTGGTGGGGAGAGATAATAAAGATACAAAGATAATAAAGGCCCCATGAAATTACACCATTTGTCAGAGGTCAGGGACAGGCCTGGCCCAAACCAAGTGGCATCTAAGTGTTTGTTAAATAAAATAGGGAGCCGATGGGCAAGGCCCCTAAGCTCTAGGGAGCTTACATTTCAATGAGGATAGAAAGTGTTGTGATGATGATCATGATACATATTGCCTCACTTTCTCTTATTTTTAAGAAATGGAAGAATTAGCAGAACACGGCATATTTCTCCCTCCTAATATGCAAGGACTGACCGATGACCAGATCGAAGAACTGAAATTGAGGGACGAATGGGGTGAAAAGTGTGTACCCAGTGGGGGCTCAGTATTTAAAAAGGATGACATTGGCCGAAGGAACGGGCAAGGTAATCCAGCATGTGTCTTCTGTGTGCACGCCTGAGTACAGTAGCAAGTACGCAAGAGGCTCTTTCCCTGAAAACATTGACCTCAGTTTTCTATACGAACCAATGAAATGCTGCACTTTGTACCTCCTTGTGGTGCAGTGCAAATCCGGAATGAATGGGGCGGGTAGAGGAAGCATCTGTCTTCTTGCTCTTACTAAGTTGCTGCTAGCTCTTAAATATGTTAGGTGAACCACCTGAAGCTGCCATATTTGTAGGTAACAGATGGTGAAAATTGGCACTTTCTCGTATGGTTCAACCTAATCGTTTTGGGGGGAAATGATTGCAAATGCATTGAAGGTTCTGTTCTGTTATGGTTTGCAGGTACTGGGCTTTCTTTATTGATTCCATGAGAAAGAAAGAGATTAACTTCGGCCCACGGGTCTCCACTTGAATGGAGGGCATGCCTCTCTGTGGGGGTAGGACCAGTAGCCCAGTACATGTCAGAGCATTCTGAAAGTGTTCCCCCCTTTAGTGTATGCTTGATCGGGTGGAATTTCAAGGAGAACAGATGGTAACCCATTCGGATAGCTTATCCCTTTTAAATTGCAGAAAAAGCTCCATTTAAAAGACTCTGATTGATCACTGAACAAACACCTAAGTGTCTGCCGTGCCCCTAAAACACTGTTAGGAGCAAAAGAAATACAAAAGTGTCCCTACAAGGACTTTATAGGCTCAAAAATTATTTTTGAAGATAATAGGAATTTTTAGTAGTATTTCCATTGAATTTTAGCCTGGAAAATGGCTGGCTGTCTTCCACATCTTTTCCTACATAGACTCGTCAATTTGGAGAGGTTCTTTGCTTTTTAGAAGGAACTGCATCAATGAGAAAAATAATAGTATCTCATAAGAACCAGTTAATGGTTCGTGATTCATCTTTCAACCAGTATTGTCTTAAATTAGCCCTTTCTGTTCTAACACAGCTTTATGTTTCTAGCATTTTCAGTGTCTAAGCCATACTTTTCTTCATTAAGAAGTTAAGCTTTGAGAGAGTCTTACGTGACTTCTCACAGCCAGCTCTCTACCGTGTCCCTCGCCTGAGTTCCATGTGGGTCCTTCTCTCATCTCCCTGCTCCCCGACTCAGCCAGGAGTGGGGTTAGGACATGCAAGAAGAGTTTTAAAGATGGCCATTTCTCTCCCTCTTCCCTGTTTTATTTTCATAGCTCCAAATGAAAAAATGAAGCAAGTTTTAAAGAAGACTATAGAAGAGGCCAAAGCAATAACATCCAAGGTTAGCTTTTGAAACGATGCCCTATAGTCTGTCCTTTGAAATAACCAACTCCACGTCTGGCTTCCAGAATTCTCCGCAGACCGGCCTTTTCTATTTCTTTGGCCTTCCAGAGTCAAGGGAGAGCAGCATGCATGGGGTGGCCCCTCACTTTTCCTTTCCATAATGGTGACCGTGTCCTCCCGGTTTGCGCAGGTCAGGCAGAGACTGTGCCCGGCCTGTGTGAGTGCCGATCAGCGCCTGCGCGACGTCTGAGGAGCTTAGCAAAGTGAACGTAAACATTGTGGGCCTGGATTAGCTCTGTGGATATTTGATTGACCTAGTATGTGCTGATAGGAGTTACTTTTTTGTGATTGTCCTGATAATACAAAAACTGTTTCATAGACAGAGAAGCGTAAGTCCTATGGTTGACAGATACCGTGAATCTGGAGGAAAAGGATTTAAGGCTGTTTGAAGAGTTGGGTTTTCAATCAGTCGCTTTATGTGTTGACCTGGTCATTGCTCCCACCCCCTCCCCCAGGCCTTCACAGTTGATAGCTGTTTGTGCAGGGGTTTTTCTGTTCTCCTCCTCCTGATTCCCTGGGCAAAACTGCTACTTCTAAACCACTATGTCCTGAATTCTGCAAGCTCCTAACTAATCCTCTTTAAGTGCTTCAGGAAAGACTGCCCTTCTATGCTTGTTAATACAGCAAAGGCTCTGTGAAGTCCTACAAGGAAGGCTTTGGTTCAGTCCAGCAAAATGCATTTGACCCTAGAATGGTTTGTTTGGGG